AGCCAATTCATAGAGGGGGATTATTAGGAGGCCATGTTTGGTAAGGGCCAATGGGAAATTTGGCCAGGACGCCGGGGTGACACCCCTACGTCTGTTACCCAGACTCTCCTCCTAGCTTGTGGCAGCAGCCTGAAGGGGAGGTGAGTTGAGATGGACCGGACTCGACCCTGGCACTCTCACCCGACTTCACCCAGACTCACCAGGTAACTGAGTCAGCAGGCCTCCCTGTAGAACAGCGGTTAAGGTCACTTGAACTTAGCTTATTTTTCTTTTTCCTTAACCAGTGAGGTGCTCTCTCTCTCTTCATTACAACGGTCATTACTCACAGACGCACCAAGTTCAGTGCAGCAGAAAGCAGTCTGTAGTCGTTGTACCCAGGCCTCTGCCTTAGCCGCGTAAATGATGATTGATCAAAACCAATTAGAAGCTTTGACAGGCCCCCTTAAGTACTTCATCATTAATCACACCCAGTTACCCTGGAAATGGAAATCTTGCATTGATTTATGCTTTTTTCCCCCATCTTCATTTTAAATCTTTTGTTTGATCGTTTGGAAATTTCACATCACTGAGACATTCAATAAATCCAGGCCCTGACATACACTGTTCTTGTGAAGTCTGACAGGAAAAAAAGGAAAATCCAATTGGTCTGCTCAGTGCAGTCGTGCAGCATGCAGAACACAGTGATAATGGTATGTCAAAATCGTGAATGGGGGCCAGTAAGCTGAGGAAGGCAACATTTTGGTGGCACCTCAAAGAACGATAAATACTGTAATGAAAGTTAGGTGCACAGGTACACAGGTAAAGATGTCTTGTCCAAAACGACTCAAGATCTGCTCTTGAGGCAAACCCAGAGATCAACTGCAGGCCACCTGGAGCCAGTGCTCCATGTGCACAACTTTACAAAGGTTTACTGTGGTGTGGAACAATAGTACAGCCAAGCACAGGAAATGCACAGCTCATAGGGGGTGACGTCTCGGCTACGTATTTTCCAACCGAGGTGCTGTACACAAGCCTTATCCAGGTGTCGACAGAGATCCTGAATCACTGGACTCCAGGAAAGAGGAGCACAGCCTCTTCCCTCATAACTGCACTGGGAACAGTGGGTCAGGCCTGAGGGAGCTGGACTTGATGGGTGGGAGCACCAGGTCCAGTGACTCTGAAGAAACTGGGGGCGGGTCTGGCCACAGCTCAGACAGCCAGCCGTCCCCAGAAAAAAAATCTTCGGTTCAGCTCGGGGTCTTTAAAAGCATGTCATTGTGAAACATGCAGATCAGCCCTGGCAGTGGTTTAAACAACGCAGCTGGCCTGCTTCCACCCACAAAGCGCCTAGACTCTCACTTTTTTGCTTGTTCCTGAGGATTCTCAGCTGAAACAATCAGCTGCAAAAATTGCACAGATGCTTCCTATAAACCTGCACTTTCTAAGCAAATCATGCGAAGCGGAACAGTGCACACACACCTGTTTACTTAGCCCATTTTTATATTATTATTGTTTGCACTCGTGCATTTGCATTTTGCTAAATCTATAACCTTGACAAAATTTTCTTTAAAGGATCTGTAGAACTGAAAAGAACAGGATAGTCCTCAATGAAGTGGGAGGAAACTGACTGGTCTCCAGACAGGTCATTCACTGGAGGACTGGAAGCTGAACTGGTTGCACCCTTTCCTTTAGGACAGCTGTGCCTCAACATGGTGCTTGTGCTGTATGTACTGCGTGGTCCTACACACATGGCTAGCTTCTATACTCTTCTGTTCATGCCAAATAGAGATAAACTGCAGTTCACTTAAGTACACGGTTAATGCTGTTAATGATCTTTTTAAGCTGTAATACTGGAAACGCATGCATTAAAATAAAAATAAGAAGATGCACGGTTTAAACGTGGGGCAGGGGTGGTACCCTGGGCGCCCGAGTCTGCGATGGCACGCTGTTGCGGGCGTGATGCCGGTTTGGATCCATGCATCTGCGCCGCTGTGGAGCGGGAGTCCTGAACAGCGAGACCGGGATCAGGGTGTGACTGAAACACAGGGGCTGTGTGAGCCAGGGCAAAGCTCCTGCATTTATTTCCGGCTGTACCAACCCTCTCCCACGGTAAACCCAGCCCAGGTCCTCCTGCCTCCCTGTCAGAAGCGCATCCAGCACAGCAGGGAGAGAGGGAGGGTTCGAAGACGCAGTTCAGATTTAAACATGCTGAGTGCTGAGAATACTGGCCCTTTTCTGTTGGCGTTTCTCCTGCTCTGGGAGGAGGAATGGGGGGGGGGGTGAATTACAGGCAATGTATAATTAAAGATTATGGTTTCATCTGAATTAAAAATCCCTGAATTCAATTTAGCCACCTCTTTTCCCCCCAAGTCAGATATCGATCGAATGAATCGGCGGCAGCGATGCCCTAAACAGGGATATCTTGTGGATTCTCCTAACAGCTCCGCTGCTGGCTGGTTGACGCTGAAGTACTTCGGTATTGTCAACTGCTATAGTAAGAAGGCACTTCTTTCTTTACACAGAGGGTTGTGGGGGTCTGGAACAAGTTACTCTACCATGTTGTTGAAGCTCCTACCCTGACTTCTTTTAAGAGACATCTCCTTTTAAGCTCCAAAGCAGTCCCTATGACCCAAGGAGGGTCAAAGAGCAAATTGTACAGAACCTGCTGGGGCTCAGTGGTGGGGGTAGTGGTATATGCACGACCCAGAGGGCCAGCCCGTGCCTGGTGTGTGGAACACAGGGGCATGGGAAACTTACGTCCACAGCCCGGAAAGAGGGACTCGGCACTGGAAAACCTCATGTGGAAAATCCTCTGATCACGCTGAATTTTTTTTTTCCCCCTCGTGTTCCCAACATCATGTTAAGGAAAATCAACACCGCAAGCAGTAGGTACTGAACACATAATGTTCATATCATACAAACATTCCGATCTGTAAGGGGATGAGCTCAGAGCTCCGAGACCAATACTTCCACAAACATCACCTGGAATCTGCAACAACCTGCAGGTCACGATATACAGTACTACAAGACTAAGCAGCACTTACATATTCTGATTCGGCCTTGGAATCGTAGTACTCAATGTCGCTTTCCTGCAAAAGAGAAAAGAGAAAGTCTTCCTTTAGCACATCTGCAACTTGAGAACAAGCAAACCAACCTCAGCACAAAGCAGGAAATGCTCAAACTGAAGATGCAAAATTTTCCCCAGGACACTTGACAATGCTGTGGGGAACAGGTCCCAGAAAAGCCAAGCACAATCCTGTGTCCCGAAGAAGCTCACCTGTCAGAAGTTTCTAACAGAAACCGTGCCCACCTGGGGAGAGAGGGCCCATGGCAGTTGAGGAAGAATTTTAGCATTTACCTTTTTTTATAAGTGTATAAGATAGTGACTAGTTGGCTTTGAAAAATGCCTTTTACCTAGCAACAGTATGAAAGGACAATTGCAAGCATATTATTTGATGTTTTGATGCTAATGCTAGAAACTGCAGAATATCTAGCTAAATTTCACACCTTTTATTTACACGATTCCTTTTCTCTATAGAAAAGGTAAAATTGCTTCTTAAGAATAAAGTGGTCAATCACAAAGAAGTGTTTGTAGAGAGAAAAACAACTCCTAATATGGGAAATTTAGAATGAGCTTTCCTGTGTGAATTTGCATTTACCATCTCGGTGGAGAGGTTACTCACAGATCTGTATGAGAGACTGCTCTCAGATCTGCATGATTGTATGCTCCCCATGGGCATAAATAAAGGACTCTGCGTGACCACACCTACTGTAACCTGAGGGAAGAGTTTTCTTCGACACAGTCAATGGTGAACGATCCTGAAGCCACACTGCCAATAAAAACCAGGAGCTTGGCTTAACCATGGTGAGTTTTTCAAAGACTTTATGTGTCTGCCAGCTCTCCAGAGAAGGAGGAAAGAGCTGGGATATGAACTCTCACCTCCCCCAGAGCATGACCGAAAAGCATACAATGCCCTGAGCCAGGCAGGTGTATCCTGCCCTTTACGTCTGTCAAGTGGCACACCCCCACTTCCGACCAGAAGATGGCGCTTTCTCCCAAACCCGCTGATCACAGCAGACAGGGCTTCTTTGGTGTCTCTCTTGACCCCCTCTTGAAATATTACTGTATGTCCACTCCCCCTGCATCTCAACCTCAGAGGCACATGGACACTGAGGAAATACATTAACGGGTTAATCCTTCCTGGGTTTATTAAACTGACAGGAGTTTTACGTCAGCGCCTCTCTCCTGTTTTCGTGAGGGCTGTGGATGCAGGGATTAACAACAGCCACGCCCCCTTCCACCACACATAACACGATGCGCTGGAGCGCGGCACGGCTTATTGAGAACAGAATGAGTTTTTTATTGGTGCGGAAAAGTTCTGGCTGCCTGGGTGATACAAAAACAGAACAATATCTAACAAGGCAGCAGTGTGGACCTGTGGTGGGGCATCTAGACGTGTGATTGGAAGGTTGCGGGTTCGAGTCCCAGGAGAGACACAGCCATTGAAGCCTTGAGCAAAGTACTTCAGCCAGATTGTACAAGTACAACACCAAGCTGTATAAATGGGAGCACATGCTAGTCACTTAAGATTAAAGCAAAAAAATCATCCAGTCAACTAAATCAGTTTCAAGATTATACCCATGCTATTGTACTGTCCTCCATGTCAAATCAGGATGTGCACAGTTCAGCACTTACACGTTTAAACAATCACACGAGCTTCCAAATAGATTCATACCTCCGATGAACTGTAACTAAGATCTGATTTAGCAGGATTATCCAGGTGTACACTCAGTATTTTGTGACAAAAACAAAAGGATTGCACGACCTTCATTGTTGCTGTAGAAACAGAACATATGTCAACAACAATCACATGTATTTCTAAAAACCTGCACTCATGCAGCTGCCTTCTCCATGTTGTAAAATGCTCCTTCAGATTTGATCACCTCAAAGAAGGCACTACCTGTGGCATTTAAACAGGCTCTTAATCATCTGATGAGGGAGATTTGACCACTCCACCATGCAAAACCTCTCCAGGTTCGTCTCTGTTCTCTTAGAGACTGATGACAGATGAAGGACACCGGTTTTTATGCTTGTTTAACTTTCTGGGCATCGAGCTCAATACAGATTTTGTCTTTTTACTCCATTGTGAAATCCATCAGCAGTGCCATGAGCGTCACAACAGAAGTACCTGATTTTGACGTAGAACACCCTGATAGACTTCGTAGTCCGCCTGCCCCTCAACTCTAACAAGGATCAGAGGATGCAAAATATCCTTCAACAAAACAAAACCATTTCTGTTATTCATAGAAAGTACGTCATTCTTTTCCACTATGAGCTTCACCATTCTGGGCTAATTGTACTCCTGGCGAGACTCTCCAAAAGATCAATTTCATCCAGCTACACCACTTGATCCCACTTGACTCACGAGTCAGTCAGGTGCTGTTTGACAACTTCATGCCTTTTCACATTGCCATAAAGCTCTGTCATTAGACCAGGCTCCTGAGAGCAGCCCCAAACAGGAGTCTCAGAGACAATGCAGCCTGAAAATGGGTTTTTTTGAAGAGTCACAAATGGAATGTCTTAGAGATTTTTTACCGCTGTCAGAGTTGGGCAGATGCATACTCTTCTAACCCCAGATATTCAGACAGCTCTCAATCAGGTGCCTAGCACTGTGCTTCTGTGTTCGGACACCTTTACTACAGTATACTGTACTCCCTGCCAGCGGAGATCAGGGCGAGTTTCAGAAGCTGCTACAAACCTTCCAAGGCTGTGCTCAACTGCAAGATGACTTCCAAAACCGTGACAATATTTATTTTCGCAGAATTTTCAACACATTTAGAGGATATTACCAAATGTCAACCTTGTACATTTAACAATGCGTAGTATATGCTACATTAGTTCCAGCAGGTAGCTGTGTCAGCAGGCTAGGCTGCAAAGGAACAAGTAAAGGTTTATTCCATGCTGAAAAGATGAGAGACACAACGTTTTGCCTGTGTAACATTCTGGCATTGTGCACACCGGAAGAAGGCTCCACAGCCGAACCGCCTATGTTACATGTTACACACGCTACGGATATATCCAGCCCCCACACTTTTTTGCAGCACTACAATTCAGAAGTGCTGAAAATCCTCGACGTATCCTGCAGTCCCTTTAACTAAGTAAGCCGTTCGAATCCATGCGGGCGCTGCGGGTCTGCTTCCCTTGGAAACGCTGGGCAGACGAGAGGCGAAGAGCTCAGCGCGGAAAGCAGGAGCCGGCCTTGAGCTCAGGCGCCGCCCTGCTGGCGATCGGCCGGGGCGCCCCGAGAACGCCACCAGCCCGAACCGAGCCCGAACGAACCGGTCCGTGCTGGACAAGCCTGCGCAGGCGCACCCGCTTTGCGCGAGAACCTCCCCGAGTGCCCCGGACGGGGTGGCGACGGAAGAGCGAAGTTTGAAGAGGCAGGCAGGCAGGCAGGGGCGTTGTGGGAAACAAGTCGGTCGAGTGGCACAGGTACAACGCGGGAGAGCATTAGCTTGCAGAGACGCACACAACCTGCAACGGCTGACATTTGCACACCGATGCCGAGCTGCTTTTCAATTCTTTCTTTTGGGGAGGGCATGACAGCTGCAGAATGCGAGGGTATCGCCGCCGAACAACCCACCGCCAGCCAGCAGTAATTACGCGCTTCTGCTCAGACAAACGGTGCTCTTCTCTGCGGGCAGAGGTGAGGGGCGGAATGAGAAACGGGGAGCCGCCGAAAAGGCAACCTGTTCCCCTCGATCTCACCCCCACCTGCCCCCTAACTCCTCACCCCCTTATCCCGCTCCCTGCGTCCCCCCAATCCCTACCCCCCGGGCCGCCGCCGCTGCTGCAGAGCCGAGACCGGCTCTTCTCTTCCGCGCAGCGGGCTGAGGTGCCGCCAAAATGGAGAAGGCAGCCATCTGCACACTCTAATTAACAGAAACCCACCAGAGAGTCCCGGCGCTAACGAGCTAATTTCATGTGTAATGAGCACTCCTCCAGAACCGCGCGGATGCACGAATGCTAATAGACGCGCCCGCTCGCGGAGGAGCGAGGGAACCAGCCAGCCGCCGTAAGAACAGAACCGCTCTTCTGGACCTTGGCAAGACGTGCGCCGGGCCCTGAACCCGGCGGGGGCGGCTCCGTTTCTGAAGACGGCGCGTAACGTGCGGGCGGGCGGGTCGGGTCGACCCCCCGAGCCCTCAAGGTCAGGAAACGCCCCGAACGCTGCAGGGCTGATCCGCAGGTGGTGGTGGTGGTGGAGGTTTTTTAGTTTGGCGCAGGAGAGAGGAGGTGGGGGGCGTCACACAAACCACGATCTGGGCAGAAAGTCAGCTGTAGCCCCTCCAAAACCCCCCCCCCGAGCCAGAGAAGATGCGACTCTTCCAAACTTGCGCGCAGTGGTGTCCCACAAGCGAGCCTGCGCCGTCCAAGATCCGGAGCGCAGCCCCCCAGCTGCCCGCGGCTCCCCAGTGCCTCCGCGGGACCTACCTTGTTATTATTTTCCCTCTGAGAAGGACGCTTCTCAAGGGCACTTGCTGCACGAATTGGGCTGCGATTTTTTTTCTCTTTCTTTGTGCGAAAAAGCATTTGTCACGCTCCTGAAAGCAGGAGAGCTGGAGCGGTTTTCAGCAGGAGGGATAAACAGTGTATTCTCCACACTATAGTTTATTATACTAATATCAGGTGTGCTTCAGGGATGTTATCAAGCTCTGAGTATTTACACCACTGGAGACGACTGGGGGGTGGGGGATACAGAGAGGGCACCCTTGAAAACAAAGAACCGATACCCAGCGTGACTGACCGGACGGCTGAGCAAGTCTGATGTGCAGAGGATTTTAAATATCCACTGCCACATCTTATCTAACAATCCACCATCACCATTAATAACCGTGGCACTCCACAATTTAAAAAAAAAAAAAACACAGCTTGATTCTCAATTCATGTTGCACGTTGATCATCACAGGCGCTCTGCCCTTGATGGAGAACGTCTGCGCCACTTACATGCCAATATAAACCTCTGTTCTAATAGGAGGAAAAACTAGCTACTAGATTATCGGCACATCTGTAGCAGCTTCAAATGCA